TCATTTGGTAATTACGAACCGCTTGTTACTCCAACATGTACACGCATATACACACATTTACAGATATGTATACATGTTTACACATACATGTGCATACATTTACATACACATGTGCACACATTTATGTAGACAGGTACATGTATGCACATGTTTTTATATACATGTGCACATACGTGTACATATATGTACGCAAAAGTACTTGTACACCCACATACACATGTATGCATATGTAAAAACATGTAGATGCTAGAAAACACGAATACAAATGGTCTGAGTCAAGCAATAACTGCGTTTATGAATGCATCATGTTGCTGAGGATACCATGTACAGAGGTACCATTTTAGATTTTACTGTAACTCGGGAACCAGTCTAGATTTTTTCATGTAACAAGCGGCAATTGAAAGGGAAATGTGTGTAGTTTTATAGCTAAGTGAATAATAAATTTTCATCGAAGGAAAGATTCAGAAAATGAACGGAAATATTCACAATTTTCGTTTCTCTTTTCATCAAACTGAATTTTTCGAGCCTCTGTACCGCTATTCTCAAACAGTTTACATCCGATGTAATATTTGTTCATATCATTGGAAAGCTAATGGAAAAGCGCAGAAATTGACCTCGGGTATTTTTATTTTTGCTTCCGTTTATTTTTGGCGAATTAAAAAATAAAAAATGCCCATTTTACATGGCTTTTCCTTCGTCCAGAGACTTTCTGCACACATGTACATGTGTACAGAATGTGTACTATGTGTACACATGTACATTTGTACACATAGATACATGTTTACACTCACATGTATACACATTTATGCACACATGTACCCATATGTACTCAAATGTATATGCATGTGTGCATGTTTGTGTTTATGTGTACACGTGTACACATGAGGATATTTACATCCATCCAGACATGCACAAACTTATAACACTTGTACATTTATGAAAGCATTAATATAAATGGTCTGATACTCATGGTAACCTTGTTTCTGGATTGGGTCATGTTCTCAAAAATCGAATTTTTCTTCTTTTTTGGAGGGGTTACTTTTTAAAATTTGTTATAACTTGGGAACCAATCATCATATCTTCAATAAGCGTCATTTGATATGAATCAATGTTTCTGAATGTTTTGAGTTTCGGTCCCTATTTCTTTATTTTTTTTTGGGGGGGGAAGGGGCATTTTCTTGAAAATTGTAACAATTTTTTTTTTATAGAACTAAGGCAAATTTCGACAAAAAAGCCCATGTCAATCTTTATTTTTTATCGATGTTTATGTTTATTTTTTTCATTGCAAAGTATGCAACAGTGTAGGCCAATAGCGGTACGCAAGAGATGTATGTAGAAAAAAAGTCGCCCCCCTTTGGAGAATTTCCACAAATTTTTGACCAAAGATGTGGAATACTATAGTGAATAAATTACCCAAATTTGAATAAAACTGAAATTTACCCACCCTTCACGCCCCATTTTTACCCTGCCACCCCCGCTTTGAGGGACGGTCCCCTTGGAGGTACTGAATGAGTAGAAGGTAGAAGGAAAAGAAAAGAAAGAAGGAATAATGCTCAGAAAAAGTCTTCTAAGGAAATAAGCTAGAATAGGAAATACAATAGAAACAAGCCCAGTATTAGCAATGTGCCTCTCAGCTGATTTTTGAAAACAATGACTTATTGAGCGAGAGAGATTTCTCAGTCGCTTGAAATTGTAAACAAAGGCTCTACAATAAATTATTTCATCCCTTTATTGCACACATTACTGAATAACATGGCGTCAAGGGTAAAAACATATATGTATATATATTAATAAAATATTTTGCCGTTCTGACTGCTTCTAAAAGGGACTCGACAGTAAGGAAGGAACGTTAATGATTATGAACGACAGTGATTGAAGATATCCCATCATATCAAAGTAACACATCTTGTTGAAATTTCCCTCTCCACACCTGTGCCGACGATACAGGACTATATAATCTGACTTTGATCCAACATTCTACACAGTCACACCTCCGCCAACCGCTACCATGTTGCGACTCTCGCTGCTTCTAGCCACGACGCTCACGGTAAGTCACTCACTTGAACTGGGGACTGTGGGAAGAGGTGTTTTTAAATCATAAGTCATCCAAAATTTTTCATTCATATAACATATTTTCCCTCTTCATATGCTTCTTCAACAAGTTGGTGCTGTGCCGGAGTCTTCCCAGTAACCGGGAGGAGGACCTGGTCTGCCCTGACGGCTGGACACTGCTGGACTCCTCGTGCTTCCTGGTGACAGAATCGTCCGGCAACTGGTTCGAAGGCCAAGACTTCTGCAACATCTTGGATGCCTCGCTAGCCACTGTGTCCAGTGCTTCTCTACAGACAGCACTCTCGGGTCAGAACATTATGCAGTATCTGATTATGAAGTTGCTTCAGATTTTATGTATGGCATAAGAATGGCTAATTCTGGGATTGTTAATGTATTCTTTTTATCTAGTAATTTTGCCTCTCACCTACAGGCATGCTGAAAGGAAACACCTGGATTGGTCTCACTGATCTCAAGAATGACCACAGTTATTCATGGGCTGATGGAACTCCCTTCGAGTTTTCCAGGTTAGGCTCTCTTGTGGCGACTAAATGAGGAAACATTCGTAGTTCTTTAAGAAGTTGGGAAATGCCTGGCTCGAAATCCATTAGCATATTTGGATTATAAAAGCGTTCCCCAAACGCGTAATGCATAAGCGTCATACATTATTGTTATACTAAGGCAAAGGAACCATTGGTCACAGTCACACTAATCTATTGCAGCTGGGCAGAAGATGAACCCAGTAACTCGGGAACCTTCTGGGTATTTGGCGAGAGAGAGGACTGCGTTGAGATGCGACAAGAATTCCAGTATTTCTGGAATGACGCTCACTGTGATGACGTCAAGCTGTGAGTAACTGTGTTATGATATTTTAATAGAGTGATCATCTTTTTCTTGTGACAGATAAACGAGGTAAATAATGTTTTCTTATGAAACCAGATTCACGTGCAGTCGTCCAGCTGACCCAGCGCCCACCACCACAACCACCACCACCACAACAACAACCACAACTACCACCACTCCAGCACCAGCTTGTGAGGAAGGATGGGACATTCGCGAGCTGTCTTGCTACCTGGTGAGTGAAGCTGTCGCCTCGTGGACGGACGCCAAAGGCAACTGCAGTGATCTCGGGGGCGTGCTGGCTTCCATCACCAGCGAGGACGAGCAGGCGTTCGTGAGCAGTAAGTAGCGTCCGGGCGACGGACTCCTGCAGGGGCATCAGCTGATTCCTCTTTTCATATTGGCTTTGCTTCCTTTCCTTGTCTGCAATTAATATTCCTCTCTTGCTCACAGGTCTGTTGACTCGCAGTGCCTGGATTGGTCTCAGTGATCAGGAAATCGAAGGAGAGTATATCTGGGAGGACGGCAGTCCTTATAACTATAGAAGGTAAGTTCGCTTACATTTGAGCTGGCAGTCTTTCCAGTCACCTATTACAATTTCCCCTTCATTTTCACTACAATAGTATCATTATATGCTGTATACATTTAGGGTAACCATCATAGTAGTCTGAGTTAGTATCCCTTCTGTTACCTAGTTGGTCGGAAGGGGAGCCCAACAACTACTACTATTACATTACCCTCGGCGTGGGCGAGGACTGCGTCGAGATGAAAAAGGATTACGACTACCGCTGGAACGACGAACTCTGTCCAGCTGAAAGGGCGTGAGTAACCCCTTCTTGACCTGTGAAAAAAAAACTAGCTTTGTCAACTTCATTCACACTTACATGCATATAGCCACGTCTCTCTTACTTATGTCTCTGTGTCGTTGTAGTTTTCATTCATACCATGTACGTATGTCCTTACCTGTATCTTCTTACTAGTAACCCACGTCCTACTTCTCATTCTAGGTTTGTCTGCGAGCGACCTGCCGAGTAATGTCGATGTCTCCTTCCCAGGTTGATCTAAGGAACAGAATTCGTCTTCTCTATTAGGTTACACATTCAAGGATCCTTGATTTTTTTCTGGACTTCTTCCTTGTTCGCAATATGCAATAAATTGAACAGAGCATTAATGGCAGTGTACTTTTACGTTCACACGTGCAAATCAGAAAAACAGGATACATAGGGTTAGCAAATAAGCTGCCTCATCTACAAACGCGGTGTGTGTGTGAGATTGTGTATATGCGTGATTGTGTGTGTGTGTGTGTGTGTGTGTGTGTTTGTCTGTGTATGTGTGTGTGTGTGTGTGTGTGTGTGTGTGTATGTGTATGTGTGTGTGTGCGTGCGTTATATATATATATATATATATATATATATATATATATATATATATATATATATGTATGTATATATATATATATATATATATATATATATATATATATATACATAATATATATATATATATATATATATATATATATATATATACATAATATATATATATATATATATATATATATATATATACATAATATATATATATATATATATATATATATATTTATATATATATATATATATATATATATATATATATATATAATGTATATATATATATATATATATATATATATATATATACATATATATATATAATGTATATATATATATATATATATATATATATATATATATATATATATGTGTGTGTGTGTGTGTGTGTGTGTGTGTGTGCATGTATGATACTATAATAACATTTATGCTGATGAGAAAAATAAGAATGGTATCATAATGATCACAGTGATGATGGTGATGATATCAATAACGAAAGAGTTGAAAATGATAGGGAAAATATAATAACAGAAATATAGATAATAACAACAACAACAATAATAATAGCAATGACAATGATAAAAGTAGTTATACGATTAATATTAATGACTGTCATGTCATCAGCCAGCTCCAGTAATTGCCAAGCTTCACAATCATCACTTTAACCCTCAAAATAATTGCCTTATTTGTCGACAGATTTTGAAAAAGCAAAATATATTTATATTTCGTTGCGAAAATATGACCATCCCCGTCATATGTACCTTGTCAGTCAACAGGACATATTACTGACAAGAAACACGGACGGAATGCGTGACAGTTGAAAGAATATGATGAAAGTTTGGTTAAAAGTGTAGTATTGATGATATCAGTGGTGATGATAAAAACAATAATAACACTAATGATAGTTATAGGTTTAATAATAATAATAGCAATGATAATGGTAATAGCATCAATAATAATAATTATTATAATAATATTAACAATAATGAATAATATTAATAACAATATTGAAAATATCATAAATCATTATAGCCATGGATAGTGGCCTACTACTACTAGTAGTAGTAGGCCTAGTATCACTACTATCAGTACTTTTCCAATATCAACAGGGATACCAATAATAAAGATGATATTAACGATTAAACACATATATTTTTCCTTAACCAAAATGACACCCCAATTTTCTCTAATTTCTAGAACAGATTTGCATTCAAATGTAGTCTCATCAGTAGAAAGACTTTTGATAATAACCTTAGGCACACCTGTATCGGCGCTGGAGGACTATAAACCCAGCACCGAGTCAACCAGAAGCACACTGCAGTCTCCACCTCCTGACACCATGTTGCGTCTCTCATTCCTTCTAGCCAATGTGCTCTCGGTAACTCACTCTGCTGTTTCGGAACTGTGATACTAGGAGATTCGAAACTTTCAGTGAACTTTAGTCCATTTTCTCTTTTTCTTTTCTCTCTCACTCTCTATCTATCTATTCTGTTCCTCAACCAGTTGGTGCTGTGCCGGAGTCTTCCCAGTAACCGGGATGAGGACCTGGTCTGCCCCGACGGATGGACGTTGCTGGAGTCCTCGTGCTTCCTGGTGACAAAATCGTCCGGCAACTGGTTCGAAGGCCAAGACTTCTGCCACAGCTTGGAGGCCTCGCTAGCCACTGTGTCCAGCGCTTCCCAACAAAAAGCGCTCTCGGGTCAGTATACCGGGCATTTGTTAAGATTTTTTTGCATGAATCGAAAAATGTTTGTGGAAAAATTTAAAGTATTTGTCTTCCTCATCCTATATACTAGAGAAGATATGTCTCAGCGTCACGAAAAATAAATCATACTCACCTTTGTCTGTGGAATTAACCCTTGTAATATCTGTATCACTGAAAGGTGAGCTTATAAAAGAATGTATATCTAAACACTTTTCCTCATACCCATTACTTGGCCCATTTCCTACAGGTATATTGAGTGGAGACACCTGGATTGGCCTCATCAGTCCGTTTGGTAACCATATTTACTCATGGAGTGACGGAAGCCCCTTCGAGTTCTCCAGGTAAAGTTTTCTAAAAAAAAAAAAAAAATAAAATAAAAAAGAGCAGGTAATACTTAACCACGGAATTCTTAGGCATATTTTGAAAGATCAGAAGAGGAGTCACATGATGTAAGAGTAAGGAAATATTGTCATGTCAGGGTAAAAGGTAGTGATCACCTCTTGGTCCGATTTCAGCTGGGCAGAAGGTGAACCCAGCACCTCGGGAATCCCTTGGGGCTTCAGTAACATCGAAGCCTGCGTCGAAATGCGACAGGAGTTCCACTATCACTGGAATAACGCTTACTGTGGGGACGTTAAGCTGTAAGTAACCTTTTTTCTTATTTAAGTAGAATGGGCATCTGTGTTTATCTTTTGGTGAAAATTAGTACAGCTTACTAATTACCAAGCTGGGATTTTATCTTATAACAGTAATGCAATCAGGTATAACAATATAAGCCCTGTTTACATACATACATATATATATATATATATATATATATATATATATATATATATATATGTTAAAACATAAACAGGCTTTGCTACTCAAATTTTGATACTTGAAATGAAATGTCAAAGGAAGTATATGAAGAAATAGACATTCCATACAAGTTGAATTATGCTTCTTTATCCAGATTTACGTGCAGCCGCCCAGCTGACCCAGCGTCTACCACCACCACTGCTGCACACTCCTGTAAGAAAGGATGGGAGATTCACGAGTTGTCTTGCTACCTGGTGAGTGAAACTACTACGTCCTGGAATAATGCCAAGAACAGGTGCTATGTTCTCGGGGGCGTGCTGGCCTCCATCAACAGCGAGGACGAGCAGACGTTCGTGAGCGGTAAGTAGCGTCCGGGCGACGGACTCCTGCAGGGGCATCAGCTGATTCCTCTTTTCATTTTGTCTTTGCTTCCTTTTTTGGCTGCAATTGATCTTGACTCGCTTCCTCCCTTGCTCACAGGTCTGTTGACTCGCAGCGCCTGGATTGGTCTCAGCGATCATGTCACTGAAGAGGAATATGTCTGGGTGGACGGCAGTCCTTTTAACTACAGCAGGTAAGTTCGGTCTCTATTTACTCTGTCACTTTCATTCACTTAAAATATTCATGTTCTCCTTTATTGCTCATAAACTTATTTCGCGGCTTCATTGATCGTTCTGTAAAAAAAAAAAAAAAAAAAAAAGTGAACCTTCGTTGTCCTATTGCTGCTTCTGAATCGGCAACCCTCTGTCACGCCCCAGCTGGCAGGACGGGGAGCCCAGCAACTCGTACTTGTACCTGACCCTCGGCTTGGGCGAGGGATGCGTCGAGATGAAGCAGGAGTACGCCTACCGCTGGAGCGACGAGGTCTGCTTTACTTCAAAGGCGTGAGTAACAATGCTTTCCTCGGCAATAAGATCAGTGTCCAATTTCCTGTGTCCTTGTGTTTTCCCTCTGGTAACATCCCATCTCTTCTAGGTTTGTGTGCGAAAGACCTGCAGAGTGA